TATAAATTTATGAAAAAGAAATGTCTTCATATTGATTTCTTTATAAATTTGGAAAATGATAAATATTGCATTGCTTTAGTTTTAATTGTATTAGCTTTTAGAATTTTGTAAATATAAAATTATTCTTGCAAATAAACAATTTACTAGTTAAATAGTGTTTAATATATTTAAAGTAAATTCTCAAGAACCAAAAAAAAAAAATGTATAAATTAATTTTCATATGTTCAGCATCTCAACTCCAGAGTTTCGTAAACGTGTCTTTGGGTAATCGTTCGATCCACTCGTCAGGGGATGTCAGCAGCTTTATGTTGATTTTTATTTTTAAAATAATATATGTGCGCTTATTTTATTGGTATTACGCTGAATTTTTTCTTCTTCTTTGTGTGTGCGTGCGTGTGTCTGTGTATGCCTGTGGATGTGCGTGTACGTCTGTACGGATGCGTATGTACACATGTATAGCATGTCGTGGCTATTTTCTTCTTTTCTTAATATTCTTACCTCCTTCTACTCTCTCATCATTTCTTTTCTCTATCTTTCGGCTCTGAAGTTAGAGAGTAAGAGTCAAATGCCATTAAATGTTTATTTATCTGTACCTTCTCTGAGCTTCTACCAGAGATTAAATACCGCCACCTTATTTGTTGCTATTAATTAACGCTCCTTTAATAATTAGCTTTAAAAATTCGAAAAAGATTGCTTTCCTTAAAAGTTTTATATTTCAATAATATCCTCACTGATCATTATTTATTTGGCAAAAACAAATACATAAACATATACATGATCTAAGATCCATACTGCTTTATCTAATGTTTTACATTCATTAGATGATTATATTTTTATGTTATATTTTATGTTTTAGTTTGTCAACATTTTTATAGTCCAAAAGGCATAAAAATATTTTATTATAAATATATGGTGATTTTTAAAAAGTAGTTAACAATTTATTGTAATCCTCCACAAGTGATTAAAAATGATTATATTTCTATGGGATACCTTTTCTTTTCTAATATAAAGACTCCGATAGAATTTTAGATTTGAGAAAAATTATATATATATATATATATATATATATATATATATATATATATATATATATACATATGAAGAAAATATACTGAAAAAACAAACAAAAATCCTAATATGCGATTATGCTGTTTTAATGTTTAATGTCAACGTCGGGCGTTTCGGTCTAATAGACCATCTTCAGGACATATTTATAAAACATAATTAACATAGACCATATACAATTAAACATGAAAAAGACGATGGACATAAAAGCAATACCAATCCAAACAGATAACTGAAATCTTTTATAAGATCAGCGTTCCGTTTAAATATGATCAAGTCGTCACATGTATCCATTAAAAATAACGTTTCAAATAATAATCATATATATTTTTGAATTTCCAGGTCTGATGAATTGGATCGTGATTACGACTCCAATGTAATAAATTGTAACAATGGAATATTAGTGTTTTGCGCCTTTTTATTATATTCTTACTCTGTCCTGGACATTGAGTTCTACCTGGATTCTATCCTCTTGGAATATATATATATATATATATATATATATATATATATATATATATATATATATATATCTGCTGCTTATATGATTGGTGTATACAGAATAAATTCAATAACCAACAATTATTATTCTTAAAAAGTGTGCTCAATACAGAGTTTTGCGAATATAATTATTTTTAAATAAATAATTATATATCTAGTCGATTTTATTTAGATTGTTTTGCTTTTTTCCCATCGCTTTTGTTATTAGATATCCCATATTGTGATGACAGACCTGCCAGACTTGGTGAATTTACTGTCGTAGTGAATTGTTTTTTTCCTTTGAACAGAGTAGCATTTTATATCTATCTTTCTCTATCTCTCTCTCTCTCTCTATATCTATATCTCTCTCTCTCTATCTATCTATCTATCTATCTATCTATCTATATATATATATATATATATATATATATAAACAATAAAACAGTTTTCCCGTTCAAAGTTGGACATGTCTGTAAAAACGCTTTGCCTTTAACACACACACACACATACATATATATATATATATATATATATATATATATATATATATATATATATATTTATTTTTGATAGGTGTATATTTAAGCAGAAACTCTTCGTTTATGCATGTTTCATTAAAAACGACAGTACTACAGTTAAACTTGTTATTTAATTTTTCTTGTGTTGAAATATATATATATATATATATATGAGGAGGCACGGGGGAGTAATGGATTGATGTGAGTTTGTGATCCTGGGTTTCAAGCTTTTGCGATCGTCAGACAAACTGATGTAATTTTTTTTTAAATTTGGGTTTATGTAGATTGCGTGTATTGGTGTTATTATGGAAATGGGGGGGAAATGGGATGAGGTACGCAGACACACATACACACTCGCTCGTCCGTCGGGACTCATACATATATAAACATATGTGGACAGTTTGGGATTTGACATATGTATGTATATGGGTGGTGTTGTGTCTATACATACGCATTTGGATGTTGAAATTCAAAGATTGGAAGTGTAGCGAAAATTTCTCGTGAATGTCTCGTGAATGTATACATGTCAGCAATCAGACCATTTTTCTATTTTTTCACTGAATAATATTTCCTCGCATGTATGTATATACGTGTGGTGGGGTCTGTGTAAAATTATGATAGGTAAAAATTACTATTATTTTTATTTTTCATTTTTAAAAAAAGGGTTTATTTGTTATTATTTTAAAGCTGGTTATTTGCTTGTTTTTGATGACTGATATATATATATATATATGAGTCGAGTTCAAATACCAACCTAGTATGTTTCGTTTCCCTTCCTCCTTAGGAAAGTTTTGTATCCATTTCATCACATCTCTTTCCGTCTGTGGAGGAAACGGTAGCCTTGGGTGGCAGCCAGTGTAGAAAAAAAGGAAGATAAATCAATAAAAAAAACGAGCAGAAAGCAACAGGAAACCACTTCACTTTTTTTCCCTGGAAGTCATGCCAATTCCCAGACAATTAAAAGAAGGAGACTGTGGAAAGGCAGGACCGACTATGTCCTGAAATGTTAAAAATGTAGCCAATGTAGGAGAAGGAATACGTTGAACCGTGATGGGACCTTCTTTCCCAACAAGTCCTGACAATTTGCATCAAAGAAGGAATCTGTGGTATGATATGATCGACAACGACATTAACCCTAGAACACTAACCATTAATTAAAGTTAAACCACTACTAACCATGAGTATATCATACCCGATTTTGAAAATATCAAAAAGAATATTAAATATAAATCTATATTTGAAATATTTTACATGCTGGCACACCAAACTTTGTACTTTGAGTTAACATTAATAGAAACTGAAAAACATTTTATTTAGGTTAAAAAAAAAATCAGGTACTGAATATTGTAATTAAAAATAGGAAAATTTGCGCTGGGCACTATATACCCATGGTTACTGTTCTAGGGTTAATTTGATTATGTTAGTCAAATAAAATTAATTTATAATTTTAATAAAGTAATTTGTTACTTTTTCTGAAATCCACTCAACATCTTCGCTATGATACATAGACTTTTTGAATTTAAGTGCATCTCTAGAAGTGTCGAGAACTCATCAATTTTCAGTTTTTATAATTAACACCAGATTTTACAGCGGGCAATTATCCTAGAACACTAACCATTAATTAAAGTTAAACCACTACTAACCATCGGTATATCATACCCGATTTTGAAAATATCAAAAAGAATATTAAATATAAATCTATATTTGAAATATTTTACATGCTGGCACACCAAACTTTGTACTTTGAGTTAATATTAATAGAAACTGAAAAACATATTTAGGTAAGAAAATCAGGTACTGAAAATTGACGTCATTCTGTGGCCATTTTTTTTTCTCGTCCATATCTGTGAATTTATTTTGTGCATGCTAAGTCTTGAAAAAACACAATATAAAATTCACTATTTTTTTTTTATCCATAATGTTGAATGTGTTAAAATTCTTCAACTTGTTACCAAAACTTGCCGCAAAACATTGTTTATTTATTTAACCTTAGAACACTAACCATTAATTAAAGTGACATCACTACTAACCATGGGTATATTATACCCGATTTTGAAAATATTAACAAAAAAAAAATTAGATATAAATCTATATTTGAAATATTTTACATGCTGGCACTTCAAACTTTGTACTTTGAGTTAACATTAATAGGAACTGAAAAACATATGATTTAGGTAAGAAAATCAGGTACTGAAAATTGTAATTAAAAATAGGAAAATTTGCGCATGATTAGTGTTCTAGGGTTAAGGAGCCATGAACATTTCGACATATTTGTTTTAATAAATCGATCTTACCTCCCATATCGCAAGTTAACAGCGCTATAAAAGGAATATGTTTTTAAAAATAGATAAAAAACAAAGACGTCTGGCAGAATATTTGACTGTTCTGTCGGTTTTTAAAATACAAACGATTCTGATCAATTCGCAAGGAGATGATGAAGTAGCCCCCCAGAAAAATTTGCACACAGGTGTAAAATAATATTCCTGGCAATAAACTCGGAAGGGTCGGCAGTGAATTTTTGATCGTTAAAAAGGCGGGAATTGTACACGCACACACAAAAAAATAATTTAATAAGGAGACAGCAAGCAATCGAGTAAATGAAGCAGTTCGAAAGAAGGGTGGTTGAAGATATAAAAAACAGAGCTGATCATGTTTTCACCGTTGTAAGGAGATGTGGTTTCGGCAAGTGTCGGTAGATTGACAGGTGGCTTCTTTATCTCTGCTTGGGAGAGAAGTGAAAAATGATTGACACTCTCTGGGGTTGAAAGTTTGAATAGTGACTGTACTAAGGAAGCATGACTGATGGTTTAAACGAGAATTGGGATTACTTATCTATTTCAGATAGAGAGATAGAAACAGAGTGAAACAGATTGAATCAGAAAGAGAGAGAGAGAAAAAACAGACTAAAATTAGATAGATAGAAAGGTGGGAACAGAATTAAATAGATTGAACAGAATTATAGATAGATAGATAGATAGATAGATAGATAGATAGATAGATAGATAGCAACAACTTATAAAGAGACGGGTGTAGATAGATAGATAGCAACAACTTATAAAGAGACGGATGTAGATAGATAGATATATAGCAACAACTTATAAAGAGACGGGTGTAGATAGATAGATAGCAACAACTTATAAAGAGACGGGTGTAGATAGATAGATAGATAGATAGATAGATAGATAGCAACAACTTATAAAGAGATAAGTGTAGATAGATAGATAGATAGCAACAACTTATAAAGAGATAAGTGTAGATAGATAGATAGATAGATAGATAGATAGATAGATAGATAGATAGATAGATAGCAACAACTTATAAAGAGATAAGTGTAGATAGATAGATAGCAACAACTTATAAAGAGATAAGTGTAGATAGATAGATAGATAGATAGCAACAACTTATAAAGAGATAAGTGTAGATAGATAGATAGATAGATAGATAGATAGATAGATAGATAGCAACAACTTATAAAGAGACGGGTGTAGATAGATAGAAACAAACTGAAATAGATAGATAGAAATAGATAGAGAAAGAGAGAGAAAAAGACTGAAATAGATAGATAGATAGATAGATAGATAGAAATAGATAGAGAGAGAGAGAGAGAGAAAGAGACTGAAATAGATAGATAGATAGATAGATAGATAGATAGATAGATAGATAGATAGATAGAAATAGACTGAAATAGATAGATAGAAATAGATAGAGAGAAAGAGACTGAAATAGATAGATAGAAACGGATAGATAGAGAAATAGATAGAGAGAAACAGACTGAAATAGATAGATAGAGAGATAGAGAAAAACAGACTGAAATAGATATATAAAAACAGACAGATAGATAGATAGAAAGAGAGAGAAAAACAGACTGAAATAGATACATAGATATATACAAAAAGATAGAAAGAGAAAAATTGAATTGAAGTAGATAAAAACAAACTAAAATAGATGAGCTCGATCCTCAAAGGCTGGGTGCTCCATACTTAAGGTCTTGTGCCACGTCTAAGCTGTACTTTTTAAACCAGTATATATGAGGGAGAGAGCGTTCGATAGCGATATATATATAATGATTAATGTCACCATTTTTTTTTCTATGACTCTCAAGAAATAATCTTCCGCGGAATAAAACAGAAATACATAAGAGTGGTTCAAGTAGCCTGACACCGAGTTGTTAGTTGCACTTCCTACTGAAAAAGTAATTGTATAATATTCGATCTAGTTCAATAATATGCATTCGTGAATTAAGAGCGTTGACAAAAAAAAAAGAAGGGAAAATGTTTAATAATAAGTATAAGTATAAAATAAGTATGGGAAAATAAAAGGTTTTTCATCATTTATCAATGGATTTATTGATATAATTATCTACGTGATTTAAACTGAATGAAACCTGACGGCATGTACGCTATGCATGGCATATTTTTCCAAATTGTCTTGTGTACAGACAAATATTGGGACTTATTTAGATAGAGAGATATAAAGAAATTGTTAGATATGAAGAAATTGATAGATAGATATGAAGAAATATTAGATAGATAGATAGATAGATAGATAGATAGATAGATAGATAGATAGATAGATATGAAAAAATTATTAGATAGATAGATAGATAGATAGATAGATATGGAGAAATTATTAAATAGATAGATATGGAGAAATTATTAGATAGATAGATATGGAGAAATTATTAGATAGGTAGACATATATGGAAAAATTGTTAGATAGTTAGATATATATGGAGAAATAGATAGAAAGATAAATATGAAAAAATTGTTAGATAGTTATGAAGAAACTGATAGCTTTAAAGAAACAGATTCATCGATAGCTATGAAGAAACTGATTGATATATAAATAGATAGATATGAAGAAATTGTTTGAAAGTAAATATATAAATTGATAGATAGATAGATAGATAGATAGATAGATAGATAGATAGATAGATAGATAGATAGATATGGAGAAATTGTTTGAAAGTAAATATATAAATTGATAGATAGATAGATAGATAGATAGATAGATAGATAGATAGATAGATAGATAGATATGGAGAAATTGTTAGATAGATAGATAGATAGATAGATAGATAGATAGATAGATAGATATGGAGAAATTGTTTGAAAGTAAATATATAAATTGATAGATAGATAGATAGATAGATAGATAGATAGATAGATATGGAGAAATTGTTAGATAGATAGATAGATAGATAGATAGATAGATAGATAGATATGAAGAAATTGTTTGAAAGTAAATATATAAATTGATAGATAGATAGATAGATAGATAGATAGATAGATAGATAGATATGAAGAAATTGTTTGAAAGTAAATATATAAATTGATAGATAGATAGATAGATAGATATGGAGAAATTGTTAGATAGATAGATAGATAGATAGATAGATAGATAGATAGATAGATAGATATGGAGAAATAGATAGATAGATAGATAGATAGATAGATAGATAGATAGATAGATAGATAGATAGATAGATAGATATGGAGAAAAAGATAGATAGATAGATAGATATGGAGAAATAGATAGATAGATAGATAGATAGATAGATAGATAGATAGATAGAAATTGTTAGATAGATAGATATGTTCAGATTTCTACAGTTTGTCACATAGATATCTAATACTCTTCAGAATAATGTTGGATATTAAATGTTTGAAATTGTTCACACCGAGATGATGGTCGAATATATCAAACTCCCCCGTGTGTTTTATGGCGTGAACTATAATGCCTAAAATCTGTATAGAGAGATATCGATTGATCTGAGCCGTCTCCCGAAGCAGTTGCAAGGCTAAGGCTAATCTCTGGCGCCTAGGGCGTCGCCAAAAAGGAAAAAGCGAGGGGCCTTAAGCAATCTTCCGAACCCAGTCCTATATATGTGTAGGACACTCAATTTTAAGTCTACTTTCTATTGTATTCTTTTCAAGTGGGCGTTTGGTTAAATAGCGACAAACTTATCTGAGCAGTTTGAATGATTTAATATGAATATATGCACCCGGAATAGAATTCTTAACATCTTTCTGTAGACCTATATGTAAAGAATAGATAGATAGATAGATTTAGTTCATGGAAGTCTTAGAAACCTTCTGTAGAACCATATGCAAAGAATGTAAATCTCTGAAGATGGCACATGTGAACCGAAAGCTTAGATCAAGGAACAGCATAATAAAAAATATCCCAATGTTGAACAATTTTTGTCTTTATTTTCACCCGAAATTAAAGCAATTATACGAAGTTCTTTCTGTTTAATATATATATATATATATATATATATATATATATATATATATATATATATATATATATAACAATATATATATATATATATATATATTTAATATATATATATATATATATATATATATTCTATTTAACAATATATATATATATATATATATATATTCTATTTAACAATATATATATATATATATATATTTAACAATATTTAATATATATATATATATATATATATATATATATTAATTTAATATATATATATATATATATATTCTATTTAACAATATATATATATATATATATATATATATATTCTATTTAACAATATATATATATATATATATATATATATATATATATATATATTGTACGAAACTAGTCGAGGAATCTAATTGAAATAATAAAAAAAAAATATTAATAGACAACCCAGCAGTGTGTTTTAAAATTTAAATTTTTAATTTCTCAGTATTTTAATATTCAAAACATACATACATACATACATACATACACACACACACACACACATATATAAATATATTTATATATATATATATATATATATATATATATATTTTACATATCTACATATATATATTACATATATATATATATATATATATATATATATATATATATATATATATATATATATATATATATATATATATATATATATATATATATATATATATGATGGTTGTTTTGTAGCTTTCATGAAATAAAGATTATTACCTATGGTATATTAAGTGTTTGATATTCAGTAATTAATAATTTTGCTCTGTCTCTGTCATAGAGCTCTCCTTTATCCTCTTGGAAATTCCATGCGGATTACCATTTTAAATTATATATGTACATATATATATATATATATATATATATATATATATATATATATATGATGAGAGAGAGGGGGGGAGATATGACAAAGTCATTTATGTATATATTTCGAATTATAACTAATATTATAGTTTTCGAATATACATAACCAGGCATCTTATAGTTTAATTTTTCAGATAATAATGAAAAGAAAAACATGGAAGGACAAAATCACAATAAAACTGATAATCCCTAAACACGACAACGTTGAACGTGAAAAGAAATCTCAATTCGAGTTAAGGCCTAATGATAGGAAGCGTGTCGAAACATTCGGAGATAAGACCTTTTGGTTTTACGTAAAGTTCGGAAGCAGTCATGTTTATTATCAGCAGAATGGTAGCGGAACTTTACCACTATTCCGTCGTGTAAAGTCGCTGACGAAATAGAAGAGGAGGAGGTGGTTGAACAGAAAAAAAAAGATGGAGTAGGAGTAATAATGGTACATTTGTAAATTTCTCCAGAGTTGAGAGGACATTAATTTTAGAGGGATTTCATGCGGTGATTGGAGGATTAGTTCGGCATGACGTCATTTGGCGTTTCCGAGAAAGGAGGAGGGAATGAAAAATGAGGGGGAGGCGTGGTGGGAAGCAAGAGTCTTTTTACTTTTTCAGAAGAAAGAACTTTAAGGAAATAAATTGGAAAAAGAAAGGAAAATACTGGAAAGAGATTGTGGGGAAAGAAGAAATCTATGAACTTTGAAGAGAGAGTTTAAATGGGAACGCGGAGAAATAGAAAGTAAGTGGTTATATAAAACTTTAAGTAATCAAAAGGGTGAAACGAAAACGGTAAAGGAAAAAAGATAGATAGATAGATAGATAGATAGATAGATAGATAGATAGAGGAGAGAAAAAGACCTGAGAAAACAGAGAAGAACGGGAAGAAAGAAAGCGAAAAATAAAGAGTAGGAAAAGAGGGTAACGAAAATGGAAAGACTAAAAGGTAAACAGAGAGAAAAAAAAGAGAATAATTAAATGAAAAGGGCGAAAGAGAAATAAAAAATAATTTTAAAAAGAACGAAGAAAACAATAAAACAAATGAAGAGAGTTAATAAAAAAAGATAAAGAAGAAAGAAGAAAATAATAAATGAATTAAAGTGAAAGAAAAAAGATTATTGAGAAGGAGAGATAGGAGAATAAGATATGCTGAAGTAAAGGAAATAATAACATAAAGGAAGAAAGAAAAACGAAGGAAGGATGACAGTAGCAGATGGAAAGGGAGGGGGGAATGAGAAGAAGAAAAGGAAAAAGAAAGAAAGAAAATAATAGAATGGATGAAAATGAAAGGAGAACAATGAAAAGAATGTTGAAAAAATTGAAAAAGAACAAAAAATAAAAAAGGTTTTAAAAGAAAGATTTTCAAAAGAAAAATATTTTGAAAAAAAAGAAAAGAAAAAGTGAGTTTATAAAAAGTAAACGGTGCTACTTAAGTATGTTCTTTCTTTCTTTCTTTCTAGCTCTTTCTTTCTAGCTCTTTCTTTCTTTCTTTCTAGCTCTTTCTTTCTTTCTTTCTAGCTCTTTCTTTCTTTCATATTCCTTCTTTGTTTCTTTCTTTTTCGGTTACTTCTTTTTTGTTTCTTTCTTTCGTTTTTATTGTTTCTTTCTTTTACTTTCTTTTTTCCTTTCTTTCTTGTTCATTGCTTCTTGCTTTTTTCTTTCTTTTTCTTTTCTTTCTTGTTCATTGCTTCTTTTATTTTCTTTCTTTCTTTCTTTCTTTCTTGTTCATTGTTTTATTTTCCTTTCATTCTTTCTTTTTCCTTTC